AGAAGTGGGTCTAATTCTAAAGCTGCAAATTAGAAACAATGTAACATTCGTCCAGAAACCCCAGGTCACACCACTGACAACAGAAGGGTCCAGCCCAGATCTGGCTCCATGAAACTGTGTTTTAGAAATATTTTCTTGCGCACTTATGAACTGCCCGCATTTTAGAGTTCCCTTGTTGGCGACCTTACTTTGCCATCCAGTTTCAATATTAATGCAGCCTGGGGAGTAGGAGGGATGCTCTAGCCCGAGCTGAAGCTGGGCTCCAGGCCAGGATACAGAATGCGTCTGGGCATGTCTGAAGGGCTTGCCAGGAGTCTCTCTGCAGGAGGGATGGAGGAGGCTCACAGAAAATAACATCCTAAGGCAGTGGGTGTGGGGATACATCACAGTTTTCAGAGTCACCAGGGAAACTTTGAAAAACAACAGCTTCCTGCACAAGTGTATCCTCCTTCCGGAAAACTCTCTTGTTCTCCGACTCTCATTCCCACCCATCCCACCCCAGTAGGTGCACAACAGCAAACAGCACCACTTTAGCATCAGACTCAGGCCCCCCATTTGTACACATCGGGCCTCACGGGCGTGTTAAAAGCTGAGGGGGGGGTTGGGGGGGGGGCTTCTCTCCCTCAAAGCTCTCCAGGCTCTAATAGAACGAGCCTGCTGAGTGAAGGAACATCTCTCAACTCTTGAGAGGCTGCCTCCATCAGGTCGTCATAGTGGCCACAGACCCTGGGCAGTTCCAGACCAGGCACAGGAATCCATGAACCCCCAAAACAGCACACTGCTTACTGGGGGTGTGTGTTTCCTTTTCTGTGAGTTTCGTCAGGTTAAAGAGGGTGTGACCCTCCACTAACAACTACTGCCCTGACAACTGCCAAAAAACATTAGTGAATGGATTTTTGTGAGATCATGAAAATGTTGCTGTGACAATTATTAGCCAGGCAATGCTGCTGTTTCAATTAATGTGGCTTGTTTTTTTTGCCTTGACCTCAGTTACATGACAAATATGAAATTCAAATATGAAATTCCCCCACTGAGCTTTAAGCTTGGTTCAAAGGCTTCTACCTCGCCAGACTGCTGCTTCCTCTCCGAGGTCTCCGTATTCCTTGGAACACCCAACCTTTACCTAATGTTGTAGATGTGGATGCACACGTCATAGCTCTCTCAATTGTAACCTCTGAAAGTAGGAAGTGTGTCTTATCCATCTTCTTCCTACCTCACAGTTTCCAGAGGAATACATTTACCTCATTATCAGATGAGGGAGCGAATACATCGTAACTCTATTGGAGTTGCCAGGCCTTTATACTCTTCTCTATGAAAAGAAATAACCCTGTTTCCTCGCTCATCCTGCTCTTAAAATGCTTTCCTTATCATTGATAGTGTCTTGCTCTATTCATTTACCTCATTATCACCCACTATTTGCCTGTCTTTTCTGTTTACTTGGGTGTGAACCTCTTGGAGGTCCAGACTACATAAACCGTCACGCCTTTTGTGAGGGACACATGGAGCCAACCATGCTGTGTCCTGGTGTATATGTGTCTTACAACATGGACACACCTCGGGGACATGTTTCATAAAGCACAGGCTTAGATGGAACAGAGACTGGGAGAGATGGGAGAGAGATTGCAATACAGCTATTAAGATAGGAATTAAGCAAAAGAGTCCAGTCATCAGATTATGGAGTTCTATTCAGAAAGGGAGATAAGCCAGAGGGAGAGAGGCCTGAACCTGTCTGTAGGAGAAAGGCGGGCCGGCCTGGGAGGTGGGTGTGGCTTGGCAGCAGTACTGGCCCTCTGGAATTGGCTCCGGTGCAGGCAAGAGGTGCCAGGTAGTTTGAGATTTGTTGTTCTTGTTTGGTTTTAACCCTCTCACCTTATTTGGTCTATTCCAGATTTGTGTCAGAAATTTCTAGCTGCAGTCATTCTATGTTAAAAAAAAAAAAAAAAAAAAAAAAAAAAAAAAAAAAAACACACTAGTGAAATTGATTTTGGTCGATTGTTTTCAAAATCCACCAGGACCAGCTAGCTGAGGGTGCATTCCTATTTTCCGGGAGGCACTCAGGGAGACCTGGAAACTTTCTCCTTTTTCTCCTTTTCTTTATAGTTGAATTCTGTGTTGACTCGGTTTTTCACCCCCCCCCCCCATGTTAATGCACACTCAGCATCATACAGTGTCTGAGCACTTCAGCTTAGTGAGTGACGCGTGTTACAGAATGACCTTGCTGGAGATGTTAATTAACTGACCATGGACAGAGTCCCCAGTGTCAGACCAACTATTCCATAGTCAAGGCTCAAACTAGGGAGAGCAAAGGTACAAAAGTTAAAGTCAAAAGGTACAAAAGTTAAAGTTTGGTAGCTACCTGTATAGTAGATTCTATATAAGCCCACCCAGACAGCAGCTTTTGGACCCAGGTGTAAATTAAGGGTTAATGTAGTTAGAAAAATGAATATCACATTACTCATTTATCTTATCTCAAGTTTAAAGTATTCATTTGTCATTTAAAAAGCTTACATTGAGTTCCTATGTGTGGGGTCCATCACTAAACCAAAGGAAGAGTCTCATCCCGGGAAGTTTGCATACTAGCAGGAAGGAGTCCTGGATGTCAACTGTCGGTCCTTGGGACGGTTTCATATCTTCTCTAAGGCTGAATCCTCAGAGGTTAATGTTGTTCTATCCTTGGATTTTCATCTCTGGACCCCAAATAACTTTTGTCCCATCCCTTGAATGTTGGGAAAATCTCGGTGTCTCTGGGCTTCATGTCCATCCAACCCTTCCCCATGTAAGCATGTGCATGTGCTAACAGTATGTTTCGCCCAGCGCTCAGGAGGTAGAGGCTGGTGGCTCTCTATGAGTTCAAGGCCAGCCTGGTCTACAGAGCGAGTTCCAGGACAGCCAGGGCTACACAGAGAAACCTTGTGTCAAAAAACCAAAATAAAGAAGAGAAAAAGAAAAGAAAATTTTCTTAATTAAGTTCAGTCTTAAGCAACAATATGAAGTTAAAACTCCACTTCTTTGTTATACATTACTAGTATATGGTTGCATGTGTGTGTGTTGCCTGCATGTGTGTATATATATATATATGTACCATGTCTGTGCCAAGTGTCCTTGGAGGTCAGAAGAGGGCATAGGATTCCCCCAGACCTGAGTTACAGATGGTTGTCAATCAAACACAGGTCCTCTGCAGAAGTAGCAAGTGCTCTTAACCACTGAGTCATCTCTCCAGCCCTACTAACATCAATATTTTAAAGTTCAAGGAAGCAAAACAAATTCCTGTAGTTATAATCATGTGAATGAAAATAGTCTTGCCTGCCTCTGCTTCCTGATTAAAGGCATGAGCCACCACCACCCGGGTGAAATTATTTTTTTTTAAATATACAATTTATTTTCCTTACCACCGATAAAATATATAAAGAAAAAGAAATGTGATCCAGTGGTGTGTCTTTTTACATACTTCATGAAAGAGGTAAGATGTTATTGCTCTGCTGTTGAGTCCTGGAGCAGAACTCCAATCTAAATTCTTCTTGGTATCCCCGCCCCCATCCCGCAAAGGGCCCACTCATGCTGCTGCTGCTGAAGAGCAAATTCTTTCAGACCTTGTACTTTTATTTTCCTCTGTGGAAATTTGTATCACTTGTATGAAAACCTTCTCTGCTGAGATAAGCAAAGCCTGGCTTTCACTCACTTTGATCCACAATCAGTTCAACAGATGTGGCTGCCTGGACAAGTTGACTGATGGGTAGATATTTATTAGCGTGCACAGGACCCAAAGATAGATACCCTGACAGTCCACTACACTAATTCTTAACCCACATCTACCAAACCCCAGGGCATAATAAACATTATTTTGCTTTTATTTACAAAATTGCACCCTGTACTCTGCTGCCCTTGGATGTTAGTAGAAACAATGTATCATAACAAATATTAGGGGACAGCAACTACTAGCTTACACTAATTAAAAACGAAAACTCATAAAACAGCCTTGTTGCTAGGCCACCGGGAAGGGGCAAAGTCCTCGGAGCAGATCACTAAGACTAGGATGAAATATATAAAGATCTTGTATCTTTTTCTTTCTCTTTTTTGATTTTGTTTTTGTTTTTTTGAGATAGGGTCTCTCTATGTAGTCCTGGCTGTCCTGGAACTCACCCTGTAGAGCAGGCTGACCTTGAACTCACAAAGATCTCCCTGCCTCTGCCTCCCAAGTGCTGGGACTAAAGGCACTCACCATCACACCTGGCTCTCCAGTCCTGGAAATCAAACCTAAGACCTTGAGCATGCAACTCAAGCATATCCCCTCCCCCCCCCCCCACCAGCTGTAACTCCAGCAGCTTCTCATGCGTTTTCTTTAGTCCTTTATTATTTTAAAACTTAGTTGTCCTGTGTACACAAACCACGACCCTCACTAAAATTACAGATCACAAACAAACGCACACGTTCATATGAATCCACACACATGCAAGTGCAGTTCATGCAAACACTCACATGTCTATCAGTCCTTCTGTGTATCTGACAACACAGGACGCATAATGCATCTATAACCCAAACTACAGAGTCAGTCCACTTGGCGTCCATAAACTGTGCCTACCCTGATTTTTCGTCAAGCCTCTACAAAGTTTTGCATGGCTATCAAAATATTTTTGGAAATTCTGTAATGTTTCTTCTTTTCCCCCTGGCTTCGTATTTCTGGTAAGGCCTCATCCCTAAAATACCCTTCCTCTGGGACACTGAAATAACGCTCCCAAAGCAGCTGCCAGAGTCAGAGTCACTCAGAGATTTGGGACACATTTCCAGGGAGGGCTACTTTTGTAATTAATTCAGTCAAAAGCCCAACCCACAGAAACGTTCACAGAAACAGGTGTGTGGGGAGGAGGGGGGCTGTGCGTCTCTCTGGATCTTCTCATTTTCGTTCACAACTCTGTCTGCAGTTTTACTTCTGTTTCCCCCCTTCTGTGGTCTCGGCGCCACCCCACCCCCACCCCCACCCCCACCCCGCATTTTATTTTAGATGTGCAGAAAACCAGCCAACCAACCAACCAACCCTCTCCCACTGCACCCCGCCCCCCAGCCAGGGCGCTGAAGTCATATTTCTCCCTGGCTGACTTCCTCCTATACTGGTGCCTCAGAACTGGATTCTTGTTACCCAGAACCACCTCCCCTAAGTTCAAAGCCAGTTAGAGGGCACATCTGGTACACAAGGGAGCGGGATCCACCGACCAGCACGGCTGCTTGCCTGGCCCTAAGGGGGAGGCTTCCTCTGCAGATAAACCACACTCGGGTCCGCTGGATGGCACACAGGGTCCTTGCCATGCTTGCGCCTAAACATACCCATCTTGAAATCAGTGGTTGTCATCGTAGAGTAACCTGGGAATTGTTGTTGAAAATACCTTTGATGGGGGGAAGACTTTTCAAACAAAAACAAATAAACCTTTGTTCAGGCCCATTGAACGGAATCCCTGGGCCTGGGCCGGGAGGTGCAATTTTTTTTTTTTTCTTTTTTAAACAGCTCCCAGATGATTCTATTGTGAGGCAGGGCTAAGCACCACCGTGTAGATTCCGCTAGTGGAAGCTATCCAAGCCCGAGCTTACTCCCTTCCTTCCAAATGCACCCCAGGAGATTCCTCTGCCTGTTCTCACACCAAAGATTTCTGGGAGCCAGGAAATAAAGTCAAGCAGCCTAGGGAACGCAGTTAGGTGGAGAAAGGAAAGGGGTTGAAAACAGAGGAGGTGCCAAGTGGTGAGGATGGCGTTAAGCCCCCCTCCCCCTCTGGACGGCTGCACGCAGCTGGTGGACATAAAGCCACCTTCTAGGCCTCCTAAGCTCTGGGGGTTGACATACTCTAAGTGCCACGATGCTCGGTGGCTTCGTGCTGGAGTGGGAGAGGTGAAACCAGGAATAAGTACTGCAGAGCCCTGAAGCCCCGGGAACTGCGTGGCAGAGGCTTTGGGAAAAGAGCGTGGTCTCCAAACACCAGGGGACAACTTAAAAATCTAAGTCACGTCTATGCTGAAAAGGGGGACGAGAAAAAATGGGATTTGGGGTGCGTGTGTTGAGGCACTTGAGAGGCACACAGCCCCTGGTGAGCATGATGCAATCTGTTCCTGGTCACAGGAAGGCCATGACTCCGCGGGGGGTGGGGTAGGGTGGGAGGGAGACCGCTCAAGAGTCCCAAACCACCATGATCCCTTCAGACCCTCCAACTGCTCACCGCGCGGTTGAGAAGTAATAAGCAAACCCCCACTTGGAGCCCAGAGCTCAGAGGGACTCTACTCCGAGACCAGACACCCCCTGGTTACTTGGGCAACTGGTGGACTCCCCTTCCCACACTTGTAGGCCTGTGGGTGTGCAGGGGGAGGGGCCTGCCCCCACTGCCTCATTCTTAGTGCTTTCTTGGCCATCTGCCTGCCTTCCTCTGGCAGGGCTATGCTGCTCTTGCACTCTTGGCTTATTCCATAAGAGAAGGTCTCCCCGCCTCCACCCTTCGTTCTGTTTGGTCTCTCCCCAGATGTCTCAAACTTTCTGTGGGAAAGAATGTTCTTACTGCTAAAGTGAGACTGCCAGGCCTTAGGAGTCTGCCGGGTCTAGGTGGTGGGAGAGGGGTACCACCAGGAAGACACCACTGCTCTGCACTCTCTGCCCGCCTCTGGGTCTCCCCAGGCACCCTCTGTTCTCTGATTCCGGAGCATCCAAATATCAGATCTTTGTCCTGAGAACAACCCTCCAGCAGCAGGATTGATGCAGATGTGCACCATGGATGCGGTCCAGCTCTGGAGGAGCAAGCAGTTTCTGTTGGAGCTTTTGCTTTAAAGGTTTTCTTGAGCAAAGAAAATCCTCTCCATTCACACAGCCTGTGCCTCCAACTTAGTGAACTTCTGTACCTAGACTTTTTCTTTCTTTCTTTCTTTCTTTCTTTCTTTCTTTCTTTCTTTCTTTCTTTCTTTCTTCCTTCCTTCCTTCCTTCCTTCCTTCCTTTCTTTTTTTTCGTGTGTGTGTGTGTGTGTGTGTGTGTGTGTGTGTGTGTGTGTGTGTGTTTGAGACAGGGTCTCTATGTGCCCCTGGGTGCCCTGGGACTCACTATGTAGTCTAGGCTGGCCTCGAACTCAGAAACCCATCTGCCTCTGCCTCCCAAGCCGTGAGATTAAAGGTGTAGCCCACTGCACCCGGTTTTGTTACCTAGACTTTTGAATGTTTTTCTCTTTTTGCTTTTTCCAAAAGAAATCCAGGCAAAGACCCCATATGAGAGAGGGATGTCAGATAATACAGCAGTGGGAGAGTCAACCTGTTGTATCCCAACACTAAACACGCGTGTCAGGGGCTGTGCTGGTCATCACCTCTCTCTCCAGCACCCAAACCAACGACACAGCTCCCAGGAGCAGATGTGTGGGTACCTCCCGTCTCTAAGAATAAAAGCACCTACACAGCCATCTGTATTTGCAGTCTGATCTGATAGTCAGCAAGACACTCCTCCTGAAATACTGTTAGGACTTTAAAACCTGTTGGAACCATCACAGATTGTGGTTACTGAGCAGAAATGCCCCAAAGGCAGATCCTCCCACTGAAGCAACTGACAGGAAGCACCCCGCCTGGAACAGATATTCCTTCTGCAGGGGCTTCTTGCAACTCTCAGATTTGTGTTTTTGTTTTTTTTTTTTTTCAGAAACCAGAAAACATGAGAGAGAGAAAAGGGCTCTAGTTGGAAGCATCTCACCTAGGCCTGGCCCCATGAAAACCAGGAAATGGCGCCAGAGGGCAAAGCTAAGCTTCCAGCCCTCATCCACCCTGGTGAAAGACAAGGAGCCTCCTCAACAGCTCGGGGTAGACGACGACGGAAGCAGCTGGGGGCGGGGAGCAGTTTGCACAGCTCTCCGAGCAGCATGCAGCATGGCAGAGCAACAAAATCAGAGAGCCACATGTCAAGGAATCAATACAATAATCATCATGACAACAGTAATGGCCACGGGACTCTTACCCACCTCTGCCTTGTGACCTTGGGCAAATCGTTTAAAGTTTCTCTTCCTTCATTATAAAAAGATCACTGTGTACCTTGCCCATGGCTTGTCATAAGAACCAGGTGAGAGTATGTGAAAGCTTTAGAAATATAAAGTTGATTTATAAACTGTTTCAAGTATTCATTATTAATACTACTTAAAATGAAATAGATCTTCCAAGACAGATACGATGCTTAAATATTATTCCCATAGGAAGTATGGTGATTACCTTTTGATAATTGACTGTGCAGGATTTGGTGAATCCATCTGCCATGTCATATTTTTCTTGTAATATTCCAAAGTGTTCTTGGAGATATGTAAACAGCCTCATTATGTAAAAGCAGTTATCGAGGCTTATGCTAAAGTGGGTTTCTACCTAGCAATATGGTAGAGTTTCAAGGATCCCCAGGGATCCTCTGCACAACTCTGAGTGGGTGGTGCAAGTCTTTAACGAGAATACATAAAAATTATGTCTATTCTCATTGAATGCAGCCATCGCTATGATTTGTGAGTGGGCTGCTCAATGAATTCAGAAAAACATTCCCCTCCAGCTCCAGCTGGCAAGATGTCAAGACTGAAAAACACATCTCTTGGTTCTTCTTCTTGCCCCAATTGGGATAGATGAGCCTAATTCTCACCAGCCCATTTCCTTAAGCCATTAACAGTGATTGAATCTCTGCCCATCCCAGTGAGCCGCACACAGACCATTTCAATGCACAGTAGCACCCGTAATATGGGAAACTATGTTGTGAAACTTCAAATCTACTTTTAATTCCGTCTTTGACAGACCAAATTGAAGCCATGGGTTCTGCTTTGCTATGGCCACTTAACAGCAGCTGAAAACTCAGGCACCCTCAGGTTGAAAGCTTCTCTTTCCTATTAGTATCGGGTCAGACACTATCTGGATGGTTTCAGTCCACGGAAAAGGGTTTGTGTGGACCGGAGAGGGGGCAAAAAGGACAATCAGACACTATTGTTCCTGAAGAGTCGGGGATGAGAAAGGAAAGAGATGATGGGGTAACCTAGAGACCATTTGCTGTGTGTTTATTGGATATGCATAACCTACGAGTTGCTGAGCTTAGGAGTTTCACGAGACACAAACCCTCCGAAGCAGCAGCAGTCAGTTTGCGGGGGTGGAGGTGGAGGGCTTCTCTCTGTATCCCTGGTTATTTTGGAACTCACTCTGTAGACCAAGCTGGCCTTGAACTCACAGAGATCCACCTGCCTCTGCCTCCCGAGTACTGAGATTAAAGGCGTGCGCCACCACCACCTGTCCCTTAGTCACTCATCCTTAAGTGACCACAGATCATTGTATTTATTCGTTTCAAAGTATTTGTTCACGTTTTTCATCTACTCTGCTGTGCACTGTCAGAGGAAGAAAAAAGATAAAATAACATCACAACTAATTATTATTTCTCTTTATCTTACAACAAACACATGAGGTACTTATGATCCTTGTTCCACAGATGAGAGGCTTAGCAGCATTGCATAACTTCCTCAATATTTCCTAAGTACTTGGTGGCAGAGAACAGTTCCAGCCTAGATTTATCAGATTCTTTGCACTTAACTGGTACATTCATCTGCCTCCCAGAGTTGAGAATCTTTTTGTTTTGTTTTGTTTTTTCAAGACAGGGTTTCTCTGTGTAACAGCCCTGCTGTACTGGAACTCGCTCTGTAGACCAGGCTGGTCTCGAACTCACGAAGATCCACCTGCCTCTGTCTCCCAAGTGCACTACCACTGCCCAGTGGGAATCTTTTTTAAAATTAATTTTCAATTGGCTTTTGAGGGTAACATATGTTTGGGGTTGCCTTGGGTTGCAGAAGAAGGGGAAAGAGTGTATTATACATCTGAGTTCATTTCCTCAGGGCCCCAAACAGTGTCTAAACCCAGTATCTATTGGATGGATGAATGGGTGGGTGGATGGATGAATGGGTAGATGGGTGGGTGGGTGGGTGGATGGATGGATGGATGAATGGGTAGATGGGTGGGTGGGTGGATGATGGAGGGGAAACAGTTTAAACAAAACCATGGAGATGAGTATCAGGATAAGAACCAGGGCTGGGAAACATACAGGAGAAAGGAGAAGAGGACAGAACAGAGAAGGGTGTTCACTCTAGTCAAGTAGGAGCCAAGGACAGCTAAACCAGGGAGAACCATTTGGTGGAGGGCTTAGAACTCCAGGGTGTGGAGTTTGAAGTCAGTTCTATAAACCACTGGGAGGCTAATGCCTGAAGATGGGCCTGATAAGGCAAAGGCTGTGCTTGAGGGTTCATCTGGCTCCAGGGTGTCAAGGAGCCTAGAGATGAAGAGATCAGAGGGCAAGGCAGAGGATGACTCACAGGAGCGCCCTTGGATGGCCTGAGGGCTCAGACTTGAGGAGTTTGCCAGGCATCCTGCCATGGCTGCGGCGATGACAGTAAGCACAGGACTTCAGGCTTGCTGCACAAATGGGCGCGTTTAAAAGTATTGGGTCGGGGCTGACAAGATGGCTCATCGGTCAAAGGCACTACCAAGCCTGAACACCTGGGTTCAATCCCTGGAACCTCTATGGTAGAAAGAAACAGCTCCTGCAAGTTGTTCCCTGCCCTCCACAGGTGTGCTGTGGCATAGTAAACCCACCCCCACCCCACCCACCCCCTGCGCCACCGATAGACACACCAAGACATACAATAAATAAATATAATTTAGCTGGCAGTGGTGGTGCACACTTGTAATCCCAGCACTCAGGAGACAGAGGCAGGTGGATCTCCGAGTCTGAGGCCAACCTGGTCTAACAGAGCAAGTTTCCAGGACAGTCAGAGCTACACAGAGAAATTCTGTTTAGAAAAACCTAAATAAATAAATAAATAAATGTAATTAATTAAAAAAAAAAAAACCTTTAATTGTCAGGCAAAAGGATTGACTATTTGGAGGTACAAGTAGGTACAAGTGCTTTTTAAGCCATCTTAATTGGCCTGAGAAGAAAAAGAGGCCCTCAAGTTAGAGCAGTCCCTTTGTCGAGGTTGCTGATAAAAATCAAGAGCCATGAGGCAGCCAGGACTGTGAAGATTCCCCTGGTGGTATGGCAAACCTATTAAGAACAACAGCAGAAACGTCTCCGTTTTGAAGCCTCCCGGAGAGATCAGCACCAGACACACAGAAAGCTTCATGGGTCACCTTGACGGTCTCAAAAAACAGTCTACTTCCAGCTACCGTCCCGTGCAGAGATGCCATCAAGTGATTTTCAAAGACTACTCAAGGAGCAGGGTGTGGGGATGCACATTCCTAATCACAGACACCCCGGGGGATTGAGCGGCCAAGGATAACTGAGGCTTCAGAGGGAGGCCTGTACTGAAAACAAAAGCCTGCTCCTCAGAGGAACTCGAACCCCAAACATCTGCACCTCCACTTTGATCACTTAGAGGAATCCTGCCTTCAAGAAATGTACCTCATGCCCATAGTCCCAGGCACTCTGGAGGCTAAAACAGGGGAGTCTCAGATTCAAGGGCAATCTGGGAATCAGGGTTGGGGAGAGAGACCAAGGCTTTAGGATTCCTTGAGGTTAGGAGTAGCCTGTGGAAGAGGACTGGGAGGTGTAGACGAGCGAATGTTTGTCCAGTCCTTCAGCAATGTTTACTATCTACCTACTACAAGCCAGACTCAGTTTGGGGCATTAAAGTATCTTTAATCAGAAGCAGCTCAGTAATCTTGCTGCCACGGAAGTCTCCTTCTGGTAAAAGGAGATGATAATAAATAGTAAACATAATAAGTCAGTTACTAGATCAGAAAGTGGCATGTGATACGGAAAACAGCTATGGAGTGTAGGGTCGGGGAAGCATCGTAACTGTAAACAAGTCACCAGCAGGCATCAGGGAGATGGTGACACTGATCAGAGCCAAGGACAGGACTGTCTTTGATATCCCTTGGTTATAATACTTACATTTAACATCTTTTTAAAAAGATTTATTTATTTTTATTTTCTTTGTAGAGTGTTTACCTGCATGTATGTATGTGCATCAGGAAGAAGACCCCCTCCCCCCAGAAAAGTGGCTTCCTCCCAGATCCCGGGTTAGGCACGAACCACACCCAAACATGTGTTTTCACAGAGAGATTCTTTACTAAGCGGGGAAGAAAAGTTAAAGTGGCTGCTTTCTGACTCAGGCAGAAAAACAGTGGCCAATGACCTTGTGGGTGTCGTTTTTAAGAGGAGAAGAAGAGGAGGTCTGTGTTAGGATGGGCTGGGATGCGGTGGTAAAGGAGACAGGGGATGAGGAGGAAGGGGACAAGGGAGAGGGGGCAGGAATATTTATCCCAGAGGGACAAAGGACTGCCTTGGGATGGAGAGGAGACAGATGTGGCACATAAGAAAATGGTGGTTTATAGAGATAAAGGGGGATCCCCACCCCCACCCCGTGTTAGGATAAGGCATTTAATTTTAACTGGGCATGTTAATTATGTGAGCCAAAGGGGGCTTCTGATTGCTGGACTTCGATAGTCAGTCTCAGGAGGAGGAAGTGGCCAAATAAGGGGGGCTAGCTTTAGGAATGTAATCTAACAGTTTTCAGCAAGGCAGAGGGAATGGGGGAGAAGGGCAAGGCCTGCCAGAGCCATGCTCACCACATGCCCTGAAGCTGGCCAGAGTCCTTTTACACTACACATGCAGGTCTGGTACCTTTGGAGGCTGATAAAAGAGAGTCAGATCCTCTTGAACTGGAATCACAGAAAACTGAGCTGTCACGTGGGTGCTGAGAAACAAACGCAGGTCCTCTGCAAGAGCATCAAGTGATATTTACCACTGATGTCCCCAGTCCCTTAACATCTTTCTTAAAATACCAAACTTCAGGTAAAAATAAGACATTTGTTTATAACTGATGTAAGAAGAACTGGAGACATCTTTTCTCAGGATGAACCTAATTAGATACATGTTCTATGCTTGCATTTAACAATAAAAGCAATTAGGAAACTTTTTCCCCCTGGGGTGGAATTTGTTCAAATACTACTTCCTAAATCTTTTTTGTATAACAAAGTTTACTTTGTTAAAACTCTGGGTCCAAGCCCGCCAGTGGTGGCGCACGCCTTTAATCCCAGCACTCGGGAGGCAGAGGCAGGCGGATCTCTGTGAGTTTGAGGCCAGCCTGGGCTACAGAGTGA